GTATCCTTGCAAGCGCACTCCATTCCCATTGGTCAAGGATCTGTCAACACGACCGAAGAGAGCTCGATAGGGGATGCAAATGTGCGTTGTGAATCAGTAGATCTAACTAGTTAAGACCTTTTACATAGTCAGTCTTCTTTTACCTTTGAACCCGGTGCATCGAGTTCTAAAGGAGTCACTGCCAGTTCAGGACCGGCAGACACAACACATATAGCATGTGTTGCATATCACCAAACTTTTTTTGAAAAACAATACGTATGGGTCACTTTTTGGTACTCTTGTTCCTTTACTCCAAATTGCTATTATAATAGTGTTTCTTAAAGAGGAGAATAATGCAGTTCGTAGAACTTAAAATCATGTCGAAATTCGTATTAGTGTTGATGGAAAATGAATTAAAAGATCGGAAATATCCTTAGGCTGAAAACAGCTCCGAGCGTCAAAAAGTGCATCTGATTGGCTGAAAATTTCAGAGTGATTATTTTCTACCAATCATGCATCCTGGCACTGAACCAAGACCACGCCCATAACGTTCCTTATACTTCAAGTATCAGCCACGTCTGACAAACTTGTATCCAAATCGACAGGCGAATCACCTAGGTTCCAACTCGAATACAAGAGGCGTAGATCGCGACCGTGTGGATTCGCTCAAGAGTGCATATAATGTTCACAACTCACTATCAATTTTCTCCACCATGAAGACCATCTTCGCTCTGGTCCAACTTTCGCTGCTTGTGGTCCTCCCTGCTCAAGCCGACCTGTCGTGCTGCGGTGGACCTAACTCGACGACTTTTAACGTCGACGTCGCTGCTGCCGCCTCTGCTTCGACCAATTTTTACGTCCACCATGACGGGTACTCGCTCTCGTACAACTGCGAACGACGCACTGCCGACCGATGGAACTACACGTTGGCCAAGGACAAGAAGGCCGCTTCTCGTCCGTCTTCGTTCTACACCGACCCGATGGTGTCGAAGGAGTGCAACCAATTCAAGACGAAGTCGTACGCCAGCACCCACCGTGGCTTCGACCGCGGGCATCTGGTGGCCAGTTCCATGATGACGGACAGCCCCGAGCAACGCCGCGGGTCTCACTATATGACCAACATCGCTCCCCAAGTCTCAAGCTTCAACCAAGGCATCTGGGAAAACACCGAAGACATCGAGGCGTGTTATCGTAACCTCCAGCGAATCTACACGTGGGGGGGTATCTTGTACACGGACGACTCGAACGATTACTTCCTGGACAGCCACGGCATCCGCACGCCCGACTTTTGGTGGAAAGTGGTGCTCACCAAGGACGACAGCGGCGCCGACAAGATCATTTCGTGGTTCTTCCCCAACCAGGAGAACTTGGGGTCATTGGACTCGT